CCGCTCCGGAAGGCGGAGCGGGTCCGAGGGCGCAGCCGCCGCCCAGCGGTCGCCGGAGGCGCGAGGTGCCGGGCTCAGGCCGCGGCTCCGCAGGTCCTTCCCAAAACTGTGCCCCGCGGCTCCGACAAACCGCGCGCCAAGTGCAGAGAAACCGGCTGCGATTTATTTTCCCGCCGCGCGTGTCCCTCGGGAGAGCAGGGAGCCCGTCACCCGAAGGGCAAAGAGGCCGCTCAGCTCAACTGCAGGAACCGGGGGCCTCGAGGTGCAGGGCGGGGGGCGGGGCGGCTGCACCAGCTCCTGGGCGCGAGCGAGACGGAGAAGGGGACCCTGAGATGCAGGGCGAGTGCCCGGGAGTAGCCAGGCGGGACCCTTCGCCCTCTGAGGCTGGGAAGGGGGTCACGCCCTCAGCTGTGAGACCTGCAAGTCCCCGCCCCGTCCTGGCTGGCGAGGAGTGGGCCTCGGAGCGCGGACACTCGGGATTTAGGGCATGAGATGGGCGGGAGTGGAGTGGATGGACGGCCCTCAGCCCGTGGATCGGGGCCTCCGGTCTGAATACGCCGGGCCTGGGTGGCCAGGGGCTGGCACTCCAGGGGAGAGGAGTGCAGGGCCCGACACCGGGGCTCCGGCTCACTGGGCGCCGCCCTCCTGGGGCCGGGAGAGCAGGTGCAGTTTTCTTTGCAGCTGGGCCCGGAGGTAGCAGAGGTCTTGCTGGTCAAGTCCGTGAGCCAGGCCCAGGTACAGGGTGAGGAGGAGAGCGAGGAGGAGCCGGTCGGTGCCCAGGGTGGGCACCACCCACAGCACCGTCAGCAGCTCCACACACCCCGGGTGGCGCAGGTGGGAGAAGAGCCTCAGAGCGCGGGGGACTTCAGGGCGAGGGGCTCGCCCAGCCCTCGCACGTGGTAGTACATCTAGGAGAGAGGAGCAGTCAGCGAGCCGGGCCTTTCACAGCTGTCACCTCTCCTCCCTGCCAGGTACCCCCTCGATGACTCAGGCCCAGGAACCTCCCCCTTCTAGGTCTCGGGCCCCTGACCCTCATCTCCGGGCCAGGAACCTTCCACAGGCCCAGGAGGCTTCTGGCCTCTGAGGCGGGAGCTGAGGGGAGACTATCATACAAGAAGGGCAGGTCAGGGAGTGGGAGCAAGAGGAAGGGGGCCGAGCATGGGAGGAGGAGCGGAAAGTCCTTGGCAAGGCGAGAGGTGTTCTAGAAAGGATGGAAGGTAGGGAACGGGCCTCACCTGCTTGAGGCCCATGAGCTCCGCGTAGTCAAAGACGAGGAGGATGCTGAAGATGAGGAGCCAGGCAACGGCGTGCAGCACAAAGCACAGCAGGGGCACCCAGGTGGCCCAGGGCTCGGCCTGAGCTGCCCACAGCACAGGGCCTCTGGGGACGGGCTCCCAGCATCGCATCACCAGCTGGGGGAGGAGGAGGGGCTGGGAGACCTACACAGGCTGCCCCACCCCAGACAGCCTGTAGCTCTCCCCATCTTTACCACGAGCATCACCAACACTCAGCTCGTGGAGGTGCTGGGTGGGGTTCCAAGGATATAAGGGTGACCCCTATCTTCCCAGAGCACTTACAGGATGGTGAGGGTGACCAGAGAGGCGCACAGAGCAGCCTAAGCCCAGCACCCACTGAGAAAACAAGCGAGTACTAACGAGGAAGCCTGGCCCTAGCCGGTTTGGCTCAATGGATAGAGCCTTGGCCTGCAGACCAAAGGGTTCCGGGTTCAAATCCCGTCAAGGGCAGGTACCCCCCAGTACGGGCCCTGGTCGGGCACGTGCAGGAGGCAACCAATTGATGTTTCTCTCACATCAATATTTTTCTGTCTTTCCCTCTCTCTTCCACTCTATCTGAAAATCAATGGAAAAATATACTCAGGTGAGGATTAAAAAATATCTATATCTATAATAATAAAAGTGTTATATGCTAATTAGACTGGACGTCCTTCCGGACAAAGCTGCAGTGGGCGGGGCCGGGGCCAGGGCCAAGGCCCTTGCATCGGGTCTCTGGTAAATAAATAAAAATCACACTAACGAGGGAGCCTGCTGCTGGGTTTGAAGACAGGGCAGGGCTGAGGAGAGAGAGCGTTGCAGGCAGGACTGACGACGTGCAGGGGTCAGTGCACATGGCACGCGTGCTTGGGGAATGACAAGGTGCACCTTTTTCTTGTGAATCCTCACCGAGCACATTTTTAGATTGCTTTTTTAGAGAGAGCGGAAGGGAGGGGGAGACAGAGAGAAACATTGATGTCTGTCAATGACGCATCAATTGGTTGCTTCTCCGACTCTGGATCAAGGTACATGCCCTTGACCAGAATCGAACCTGGGACCCTGCAGTCCTCGGGCTGACGGTCTATCCACTGAGCCAAATCGGCTAGGGTAGTGCACCCTTCTTGATATAAAGTAAGGTGTGTGCTGTGGAGGACTGGAAGCTGAGATTAGAGTCCTGAACACCCCGAGTTCTCCTACACCCACACCTTTGTCGGAAGCCTAAGGTCCTTGCCCCCCGCAATCTAGGGCATCCTTCCCAGACTCTCCCTGAGGGCCGCATACCTGCAAGGCCAGGGCAGTGCATGCCACGTACAGTGACCTCTGAAGAACCCCAAAGCACCGGGACAGCCACACCTTCACGGTCTCAGTCGCCATGAGGCTGTGCTGCCCCACAAAGAGCAGCAGGAGCCCCAGATCCCACGCCAGGGGAGCCAGGACGCCGCGGTCCTGCAAGGCGGCCAGCCAGCCTGGGGTGCCTCTGGGGGAGTCGGGAAAGAGAAAGAACAGGAAGATGGTGGGAGACATCCCCGACCCTCGTCTCCTCTGGGGTCCTGGGCCGGGTCTCTCCAAGCTTTCAAGAGCCCTAACGCTTCACCTCTCGGCTGCGCCCGCCACGACTCCCCTCGCAGGGTGTGCCCTTTCCCGGTCCTCCGCCAGGGCCGGGGGGGGTTCCCGGGCAGGCACCGAGGCGCGCGGGGGAGCCCCGGCCCCCCCTGTCAAGAGGCTCAGGTAAACGGGTATCACATGGCTACCAAGTTGCAGAAGGACCAGTAAGGGCCGCATCTCGTGCTCAGGACAGCACAATCAGAAACACGGGTCGCAGACCCCACGTAGTAGTGAGGCATTTCTGCCCATGGAGACGACAAGGAAGCGCTTGACATGACAACTTGATGTGCACTCCCTCAGAGACAGCCTCGCCAGAGCATGAATACAATAGTGGGTGTATGTTGGTCCATGATGGCCCTGGAAGATTTGCTTCTGTCGTGTGGTCACGCTCAAGGCTCTATATCTAGTTATGGTGGCCATGGAAAGGGGGAGGAACTCTGTTAAAAATCGAGGATGTAGGAGTCCGAATACTCCTGAATTACCTTCACCGT